TACTTATCTCAATTTGTCACAAAACTGCATATACGATCTTTTTCCGAAGTAGGGCAGTATAGTGTAATTAAAGTAACATACGAGAAGACAAAGCTATTAGTTACATATAAAATTTCACATTGTAAACACTTTTTTCTCGAAAATAAACAAACGAATCAAGGAATTTGTTTAAATGATGCAAAGATCTGCCGATTTTAATCCTTTCCTTCGCACGATTGATCGATGCTATCACAGGAGAACGGGATGCGCATGCAAACCAAACGGGGCGCGCCGCGCACTACGTCGCTAAAGGGGCGTGTTCTATTCAAAAATTTCCCGCGCGGAAATTACCGCACAAATGCGGGAAATCCGCAGGTCTCATTGACTTGCGGGAAATTGCTGGAATGCTGTAACGTGGAATGCGGGATTGCAAACCCTAACTGCAACAACCGACTGCAGCTGCAGACGCAGATGGCAGTGCCGTTACCGTCTGTATTTCGTTAAAAAATATTTCTACGAAATTTCATAAATGCCTCAAAATTTTTGTTTCAAATATTGTTTATATTGTTACCGCGTAAAGAGCGATTTTCCTATGTTAAATCGAGATTACTGTGATATCCCCTTAATAATATTTTCTTTCACATTTCTGCATCAATTTTCATAAACTTTGAAAGTTTCATATAATTTTCAGTTTTATATCCTGTAGATTTGGCATAATCTTAAAAATTTCATATTTGTACAAAAGACTTATGGAAATAATATATACGTATAAATAAATAATATAAAATAATACAGCAGACAGTAGGTATATACATATTTAAATATTTTATGCATTTATGTTCCAAAACATTGCAGACCTACTCTTCTTTTTTTGTTCAAATTTGGTATTTTATTAATTACAATCGACAAATTTCTTAATAGAGTCATCTTTATCATTAATATCATTACAAAGAATTGGGGCTAAATTTGCAGTTAAGTCATGTCCGTAATATTGTTTCGAGTTTCCAGTACTTCAGTATTCCTCAATTTGGGTCGTAAGGGTTCCGGGGTTGACAAATTAAATGTATAATAGAAAATCGAACGGTTCCCAAAGCAACGATTTTAGATATTACATTTCCATTTGCATTAAATAGATGTATCCTCCGTAATTTGTGTACGAATTAATTACTTCACTATCACTAATTGATTAAGTTCATAAGGCTGTAAGATGAAACAGATCTCTATGTCTTATCTTATAGGAAGCATAAATGCTTATGTACAAAATACGCCAATATCTTACCAAGAACGTTAGTATCGATTCTTTCATAGTTCCCCCTTTAATTATAGATTATGTTTATCATTTACTAATATGTATTAAGTGGGATTAACTATAGATGGGGCGTGTACACAATACAGTGAAGTTAATGCGAAACTGTAGGAGCAGTAATACTAACACTCCTTGTATCAATTAGTATTCGATTTGAATAATTTTTTTCAATCGACAAGCCATTCTATCCATTACCTACATATAAAGCGATAAGGAATTAGTAGATCACGCAGTTAAAATGTAACAAACCCTTTTCAGTTTTATATTTTTTTTAAATTGGCAGTCAGTGCTTTTATATAAAAATAAAAAATACAATTATTTTCCACATTATTTCATTTTAGGCAATATGGGAAATAACAAAAAACTTGTTAACTATAAAACAACGCATATTCGACTTATAGCTCTCGGAAATCAATGAGCCCTTCTAGCATTGTCTAATTGTTGACATTGTCCACAGCAGGACAGCACCATCGACATCATCAGATCTAAGAAATTACGTCTCAAAAAGAGGCAATTTGTTACTTAAATTATTATAATAAGGTAACAAAGCTAATACATGTCATAAAGAAAATTGATAAATGCGTAATTTTTTAGATCTGAGGGCGTCAAAATTTGTGGACAAATGTCAGCCCTTACTATGACTTATCTAATGCGTTAGCGTAGTCTATAACACCAATGCTTGTAGTATAAGTCTTCTTCTTTTGCATTATGCAACTATCCAAAACACATTTAAAGGAATGGGTTGACTACGTACAGTGTAATAATTAAGTTAGGTACCTACCCCTTATTTTTTATATGAAGAAAAAAATTATGTTGTTATTAAATATACTTTGTAGAAACTTAGTAAATAAATATGTCTACTAGTGGCGGGGATACTAAAAACCTCAGAAATTTGACGTTGCTGAGTATTTTGAAAATTAAAATTAATTAAATACTCATTCAATCCTCATTACTATTATTTATTTACAGTTTATTAGGAAATTGAGTTACTTTTGAATTATTCTTTTCTTCATTTAAATTAAGTTTAGCACACAGTTAAATTAATCTAAACTTATTAATTTTACAAAAAACGATTTGTAAAACTCCTACACATTTTGTTCTGTAAAATTAATAATTTATTATTATTCGAAATAAAATTTTAAATTAAAAGTTCCAAAATTATTTCAAATAAATTTTGAATTACCTATATGAAGAACGGAGAGGAGTCAGAGCTCTTAAAAATAATGATTTTTTGGAGTTTTGGTGCTAGTTACATTTTTTGTGTGAAATTAATGGCTATAGAGATATTCTAAATACATTAAACAGAAATAAATAAAAACTGGAAAGGAAATGACTTATTTTGCAAATAAAGAAAGGTAAACATGTTTCCTTAGAAATGTTAGAAATTAAACGAATTTAATTTTAAAAATTTTTCCTAAAAATGATGACCCCCTTTTGTTGTACATAAACATTTGAAGTTTCTCCAACTTCATACAAATTGTTGTGAAAGAAATATTAAAAAACTGATGAATTATGAACTTTTTTACTATATAGCGGACAGTGAGACACGAAAAATTGTGACACTTTAACATTTAAGGAAAATAAAATTTCCTGTATTAGATAGATATACATAAATTATGTTTTACGTGAAATGTACGTCACTAAAGAAAATAACTTTGACATTTGAATAAAGCCGAGTACTAAGACTCGCCGACACATATATTATATATCCTCCTGAAACGTAACCAGAAGTGATATTTAAAATATTCATAAGGCATTAAACTCAAATAAAATGTCTGAAACGTTTACGAATCATAGATTAAAGTAAGGGAACCCATGTAGTTCCATAATCCAAGTAGTCGGTTATTTTATGTGCGGATCTTATGCAATAAACTTAGCCTACTCGACCTACTAAGAAGGAATTTATACCTCGAGAATTTGAACTAGAAATGGTAATAAATTATCCTGTGGGTTGCGTAGTAATGACCCTGCAGCTGATTGAGGTGAGTGCAAATCATATATCTCAGACGGGCATTATTTTTGCTTCCAACAGCCTTCAGCTGTTTCTGAACGATTATAATAGGAGATTGTTTGCTTCAATTGAAAAATAATAAGACGACACCGTTTGAAATCATAAGCATTGCTATTTTCATGGATAATGAATGAAATGTATGATGAGTACCAAAATAAATTCCCAATAAAAAAAACTCTGTTGATGACTTCTTTTTAATTGTAGATACTTTTACTTTGCTTTACAGATAATAAGTTAATTCAAATGATTTCAAAAAAATCATATTAAAATATTAATTAATAAATAACCATTCTTTGATAACAAAGATCACTTCATAAACAAATTTTTAGAATTAGTTTGAATTTAATTGAATTTGGTTATTACTGTTAAAGTAAAGCAAAAATACAAAAACTAATAATAAAAAATATATGATTAGTTTTTTGTAATTGTTTCATTAGTAGAGCTGTCATAATTGGCCGCGCACCAAAGGTGTCCGGATCATCAACTTAAAATAAAATGAACAATGATTATAAGATTTATGTCTTTGTATCATTGTGAAACACGTAAAATGTTATACGCATCGTTGCCATCGGTTCCATAATCTGGATAGGATCCGTTATAGATCGGATCATCAGGTATGTTTCCACTTACATATGGAATTTTTAGTTTTTTATATACTGGAGTTTAATAATCCCATATGCTCATATGTTTTGATTATCATTTTGCAAATGAAAATTATGTTGTCGATGCTTAGAGAAGACTTACGTCCTATTAACCAATGTATTTCCTTTGCCGTTAGGTCAATTTATTTTATTTTACTCAACTGCTGTTTCCATTTAAACTATTTTTTTTTGTGGAATAATTCGGAATCATTTTCGAATTCGCCTTTAATTTACTCTTTCTGAAACTGTGGGTTGGGTTTTCATGAGTTGTAAATATAGTTGAGTCATCGGTAAATGTGCTTAATAATGCCTCTTGCCGGTAAGTCGGATAGAACGTACACTAATGTACCGGAATGCTTCCTTGTGGTACTCCTGACAAAATATTATAGCGATCAGACATTTCGTTTTTAACTTTAGTTTCAAATTGACGTTGTAATTTTTTATTTTACGTTTCGGTAATATACGTTACAGTTAAATCATATGGATTTTTTATTTATGTTTGTGTAGCTTCGATATGTTTTTTTTATTATTTCAGTAATTCGTAATGCCCCAAAGTTTCCTTTGTAAGTATTACAGTCTCCATATGCTGTGCTGGCCCATCGGGATGGTTGGTATAGTACAATTTATTAAATAGGCTTTTTCGATGAAATGTGTTCCACTAGTTAGGAACATGTCCATTAAATTTTGAGTCAGGAATTATACAATTTTTGTTGAAGTGTGGCTATTCTATTTGTATAATTTTGTCTTGCAATCCTGTAACTTTGTACATAATTATGTTTACTGTTTTCAAATAATTCTAATGATTTCTTTATATTTGCAATATTTGTTGAGTTATGGAAATATTTGATAACAATTCTATAGGTTTTGGGCATGGCGCAGTTTATTTTCACAACATCGTTCGCTAGTATTGGTTTCCTACTACTATTTCGTTATGATTCACTGGAGGTTTTCAAATATTTGTTGTAAAACCATACACTTGATTTGTTATCAAATTGAATTTGTTTCGATTTTTCTACGATAGTTGTAGATTTTGTACTGTGAACTTTTTTCTTTTGGTACCTACTTCTAACGACTGGCCAATCATTTTTGGTACTTGGTTGGATTTCTTCATCATCGTATGTGAATGTCCAATATGTCCTTCGTTATTTAATGGTGTTATTTGTTGTCGTGTTGGATTTAGTTGTTGAGTTGGTAGTATAAAATTATTGGTGGGCATCTATTGATTTGGAATAGCTTGGAATATTGGGTACTTGTTTTCCTCTCATCTATATCTACAGCTCCTGGACTGTAATATCGTATCACTATTTATTATTTTCATATTGGCTAAGCTCCATATACGATGTTTCATATTTGCACAGTTAGTTCTCGACACGCTACGATAGCTTAAGCTAGCATTTAATTTTAAAAATATGGGAGACATTATGATTTCATACTATACTACCCCGTACATCAATAATTGAACAACAAATAGATGTATTAACAGAAAGAAAAAGTATATACTGATAATATATGCCATCTATTAAGAAATTACAATATTTACATCGTCTATAACATCTCAAGAAATGTAAAGGAAGCCTTTCCCAAAAGAAGAGCGTTGTTTGAACTCCAAAACCTCGGTGTATACAGCATCACATGTTCATGCAGCAAAGTAGGTATACATTGAACAAAAAAAGACACGCTAGCAAGAGATCAAAGGAACATAAGTGCCACGTAAAGAATAACAATGGAGAAAAGCACAGAGCGTCAGATTCAGGGCATCTAATAAACTTAGGTAATATAAAATTCTAGTAAGAAAAAGAACCTAAGGAAATCTATAAATCTAAATAGTTTCAATCGAGATGAGGATTTAGAACTGATAATGAAAGCAAATCATGCACCAGAATGTGATGAACCAGTTCATAATATCCTTTTTATTGCAATTTATTTCTTTGCTGTTAAAATATTTGAATGAACTAAATTATGTAGAGATAGGTACATATAAAAGTTCTGCAGAAAAACAATTAAATATCAATTCAAAAATTTGTATACGGAATACACAGCGTTTTTTTTTCAGAAAATTGTTCAAACATATGTTTAATAACTACTATATTGCGTATTTTCATTCCGCTGATTTTTTTTTATACGTTTATATTTTATCCAAATCAAGTATACTAACAAGTTAAACTCAATACTAAAATAAGTAATTTCCGATGGGCAAATGAGTAAAAATGAAAAGATAATTATTACTAACCCAACATGGTTGTCATCTATACAATTTATTAGAATTATATACATATTTATAATAACATACCACAAAAATCTAACAAATCTATTTCGAACAAGTGAAATTTTAGCTAGATTTATTATGCAAAAAACATACTTGTACGGAATTTAATAATATAGAACACTCAATTTTTTTTTAAATATAGATTACAGAATGCTACATGACAATATTGAACTAGTTAGTACATATTTTGCATTTAGATTTACCTGACTTAAGCAACGTATAAATTAACTAGTTTTGTTTATATGACTAAATAAAGTTTTCTTTAAGGATGACGTCAAAAAAAAACAGGTACTGGAAAGGTAAACGCACATGTATTTATAGATATACCAATAAAAATTCTGTTTAGCTTGCATAGAAACAGATTAATAAGAACATAAAATATGATGAAGATTATGTTTGGAATCAACGTATTAGAACAATATTGTCACGAAAAAAGATATGATTTATTAGAAAAACTTTCTAAAAAGTAAGTAATTATGTAGAGTAAGTAATGTGAAACAAAATTTTATTTTAAGTCAAAATCTGAGTTTATGAGATTAATTAATGGTATGGCCTTTAAAAGGAAGGGTGTCACATGTCTCTAAAAACAGCTCTTTCGTCCCACAATCTATTCTTAGATTTTTCTGATAATGTCAGTTCCCGTTTTGACCTAAAATTTTTAATTCATTAAAGTGCAAATGGAGTGTAAAAAGCACGCGGATTATAATCCAACCCTAAACGAGATCCTCCTTTGTACATAATCTTCTTATGCCAATCATTAAACCATGAAATATTTGAAAAGGTCAACCATATGGATTTCTACCCTTAGAATTACCAAATTTGTAGAGGTATTTATATAATATTGATTTAGTAAGTAACTAAAATTAAAGGCAAAAGCACGCTAGAGGAAATTTACAAAGTTCTCTTCCTTCATAACAGTTTACATTTAGTTTAAATCAACGATGAGAAGGAATACGAGAAATTTCTAAGCATAATGCTAGTATTGTTGGACACATTTTATGGTCATATTTGTAATTAAAAATGAACCACGTAGTATATTTGTATGGTAGTTTCTGTTTTGTACACTGATGCATTTTTTCCTCTTGAATTTTTCTTGGTATTTTAATTTTATTTTTAACGCAAATTACACTGTGTTTATGAAATAAAAGGTAGAATCATTTTTCAAAAAATTGCCAGTAATCCGAGATATTTCGAACGCTCAAAGTTTGATTTATACTTTTGTATGCTGTCACATAGACCCTTGTACCCTAGTCTCTTCTGTGAAAAAAAAGGAAAATGCAATTTAGCAAATACTTCAATAAGAACAGGAAACCGTTTCCAAATTTGAGCCACTAATTCTTCAAATTGAACCTACTTCTAAATAAGTATTATACATTATGTGATTACAAATACAGTAAAAAAAGAACAAAACGTGGTTAAAACAGAAACAAAATTTTGTATGATAAACACGAAGAGAAAAATACAAAGAAAAACACAAATGTAATTTTAAAAATAATCACCTCAGAACACAATAAATTTCTCGTTATTCTCTTCACACAAGTAGCAAATTAATTTGCATCCTTGAACTCTCTCCCACATCTTTACAGTCTAATAATAATTAAACTCGTACGTATCGATCATATTCACAAATTGTTTATCACACTCCTTCCAGAACCCTCTTAACCATAGCCTTCAGATTCTGTTAATTCAATGTGAGGATAGTTTCATCTTCTGTCAGTCACAAATGTTTGTAACAGTGACTTCAAAAGTATTCTGTAGGGTTTCTTAGACCTCTCATTCATTTTTTTCATTCAATAATTGCGACTACATTGCAACCTAACATAACCTACATTGCAACCTAACATAACCTTAGTACTAAAGAGTTCTTCAGACCTGACCTTGAAAGTTCCTATCTTTTTACTGAGACTAAAGCCACAACAAGTCTTTATTGTAAGGGCCGATTCTTAAAATTAAGTTAAAATCAAATTTTTAAGAATAAATATATTAGAATTAAGTAAGTTAAGGTAAGCTACAGCTAAAGTAGAATAAAGGTCTCTTTATAAACACACCATAAATCTTATATCAATTATTTTCTATAATCTTTAGTTCTGTAAAAAAAGTGTTACATGTACTTTTATAAATGAGGCTAAAAGCTTCCTAAATTCAGCCCCGGTTCCAAACAAAAGTCCTTACAGCTGATGATATTGCGGGAAACAACTAATCTGGGGAGGAGTGCTCACAATATCTAGATGGATCATTTGTCAGCAGAACTCCCACATATAGACCGATTTTAAACTTATTAGTTCCCAGTAATATGCTTGGAGCTTCCGACGAATGATCCAGCAGTTTTTTGTCTTTATTGCAGAGTATAGATGGGATACAAGAGAAAGAGAGAGAGAGAGAGATGTAGATGCTGCCTACATCTATTAATGGTCAATGCTACTTAATATCTAGGCCTTCAATATGGCTGCACTGGCAGAGAGCGACCTGCTATTTCGCAAACAAGACCTGTTTGAATTATATGAGCAATATAAACAGTTAGGACAATTCGTCAGCGGGACCGGCAGCCATATACTGATACTTACCGACGAATAGTCAAGCTAAGTTTGATGAATTAACTACACATATGGAGTAAGTATGGGTGTACGCATATGGATGTATGGGCCTTTAATACAGCCATACTGGACTGGAAACATTTTTTTTTATTGTTTTAATTGATTTAGAGGTAGGAGACATTGGTCTTGCTTGTATCGAACTTGTGAAAAAGCAGATCACTCTCTGGCCGCCTAGCTTTCATCCAAAGGTTTTTTCACTGATATTTTCAAATATTTTTTTTATCCTTAACAGGAAACCAGCACATGCTCCCTTAGAGTTGTGCGTCAAATGTGGCACTGTACCCATACCCTAACCTCAAGTGTGCTAGAAAATGCTTCCATGATCGGTATTAAGACATCAGAAGTTAAGGTCAGTATAGACGTACTTTTAACTACTTAATATTGTTAAAGCTAATACTTAAAAAAATGAGAAAATAGAGGTGGTTCAATATGGGCCATTAAGCAAAACGCAGGATACGTTTGATTGAGACATTTTTAGATGCAGATTATTTTATGGAAATTGGAAGGGAATGGAAAACATCATTTTCATGTGGATGACTTAGAAAACTGAAAATTGTCGCTAATAATATTTAATATAGCTTTTTACAGAAACAATGTTCTTCTCCGAAGACGCAGAAGATCAAAGTTGTAATTAAAAAATCACAAAATTACACGTTTTTTAATACCACTGTACTACTGGAAGTAACCCTGTACAATTTTAAGATAGCCGGGAAGCAGAATGCTTTATCGTGCCAATTAACAGTATCTACTAATTCTCCCTTGTCTATTGAACTTCGACACTGAGATATTAATAAAATAGTTGGAAACTATTAGCTATTTGATAACCAAATTGATCACAGTTTAGACACTGTGACAGATTGCTTAATTAAATTTTAAGCGGATAACATCTAATTTATCATTTAGGTTAATACAGTCAGCCGTTCCGGTGTTACTAATTTCGCAACAATGTACACCTTGAATTTATAAAATTAACCTACGCCAATAACTGGTAGTGAGGTAATTTGCAAATATAATAACAAAACAACTATTAATTTAAATTCCTTAAGACCAGTACGTACGGGAACGTAACAGTTACGTGTCCCCGGACTATAAATAAATTTATTTGCATAGTAAACCGTTCATATCAATTTATAGAAATTATAAATTCCCTTTTATACCTATATATTTAATAACACATTAACTTTGCAAAGTATTATCAATGAATTTTTTGCTAGTGTAGTATTGAAGATTTAATTATTGTACAAGGTGTCTTCG